GGGGGGACCAATTCAAAAATAATTCGTTGCAGCCTGATTTTTTTATTTTAAACTTTACGTATGTATATCAAAAGTTAGGTGATAAAGCTGAAGATTATTGGAAGGTATGGATAATCTTTCAAATCATATTTTATATTCTATCATGTTTACTATGTTATAATAATGGATAAATGTTTTAATTATTTAATGACAAAATCAACAAACAAACTATTATTAGATAACATCAAAACAATTGGTTGGTATATTATTGGTCGTTATGGTGAAGAAAAAGTATATTCCTTACATTAAAGAAATCAGGACAGATTGTGCTGGAGTAGGGTTAATGGGCATGATGGTATGAAACTTATTAGGCAAGCAGATTTAATAATTATTTTATTATTTTAATAAATTATTTTTAAAAAATTAAACTTATTTATTTTTGATTCCTGCAATAAAATAATATATTAGGGAAATAAAGGAGGAGTGGCAATAAGATTTAAATTTTATGATTCATATTTATGTTTTGTAAATTGTCATTTGGCTGCAGATCCAAATGGTTTGGAGAGAAGAAATCAAGATTATATGGAAATATGTAGACGTACAACCTTCCCAATAAATGCAAATGAAGGATACTCATCATTATATGGTTGGGTTGGTGATTATATACCACCGTCTGCCAAATATGCAGTTTCAGCTGTAGCCGGTGGAATGAGTGGAATGGTTGGTATTAGCATTACAAATAATAACAATAATAATAATAATAGTAATCATAATAATAATGGTGTTAATAGAAATGGTATTGGTAATGGTCAAAGTTTACCTATATTTGATAATGAGTAAGTTGATTATTTTGGAAATACAAATTTTTTATTTTTTTTTTTTATTTTTGGGAACAAAATATCTTTTTTTCTAAATAAAAAAAATTTATTATTAGTCATTTAATTTGGTTGGGAGATTTAAATTATAGAATTGCTAAATTGCCAGAATATGAAGTAAAAAATTGTTTAGAAAATGACGAGATTGATCTTTTACTAAATTTTGATCAGGTAAATGTTTTTTTCAAGAAAGAAAAAACAATTTAAATGCTTGATAAATATTTTTCATTATAATTTATTTAGCTTACTACTCAACGAAGAAATAAATCGGCATTTCATGAATTTGAAGAAGGGAAAATCACGTTTCTACCCACTTATAAATATGATTTTGGAACAAATGATTGGGATACAAGGTAAGAAAAATAAAAAAAAACTTTTTAACGTGAGAATTAATTGTAAATTTGCTAAATTATTTCCAAATGAAACACCAGTGAAAAGAAACGATCACCAGCATGGACAGATAGAATATTATGGAGAAGCAAAGATCAATCGCATTGTAAACAGTTAGCATATCGTAGTCATATGGAAATAACGTTAAGTGATCATAAACCTGTCAGTTCAATATTTGAATTAAAGGTTAGTGATATTATTATTACTTTGTAATCGAAGGGGGAGATATTTCACATATATATATATATATATAAGAATTTAATAAATTAATAAATAAAAACATTTAAAATTTAAAAATTTGAATAAACAATCATGCTTATCATTATTATTATCATCATCATTATTAATATTCATAAACAATACAGCTTCATGTAAACATAATAGAAGAAGAAGAAGGTTTTAATGATCGTGATGATGGCCATAATGTTATTATTGCAAAAGAGTCATGCCAAATAGAAGATAACGATGAGTGCGCTACATTGTGACAACATATATAAGGATAGAAGTAATGTTAGTGTTAGGATTAAGATTGATAATAGCAAAAATAGAACTAGGACAATATAATTGTGCTGCTAAGATACACGCCAAGTTCATGACACAAGATCAATAATATTTCACTACTCTTTGTAAATTATTGTTTTATAGAATAAAAGAGAGACTAAAGATAATCACTAATTTGCAGGACAATATTCATATAACTTTTTTTATTATTTCTTGTATTTTTAATTATTAATTTATTTTTTTGTAATTTTATTTTATTTATCCCTTAAACGGTCAAAATTGTTTTCCCAAGAAATTTTTCCAAAAAACTTTCTGGGAGTACACCAAAGATTAAAATCTTCGCATTGCCGATCATTAAATTGGCCAATAAAAATCCAAACCCTTTGAAGATCATTACTAACAATGTATATTAGATCTTTTTAAGACATTGCATAAGGGAGTTTTCATAAATAGGGAGGGGGCTAATTTATATATTAATATATTAATTTGAATTTTAATTAAAATTTTTTGGGGCGATGTTTGAATACATAATTCAGATTGGCTAATTTGAATTTCACGCGCTCGTGAATCTACAGCAAAAAGTCATTATTGGCTTACCAAAAATGGATCTGCTCCTGGGGGGACCAATTCAAAAATAATTCGTTGCAGCCTGATTTTTTTATTTTAAACTTTACGTATGTATATCAAAAGTTATAATTATAAGGAATATTTCTCTATTTTGCCTTCTCCATATTAATATTGGTTAAACGTACTTTCACGTGATACTTCCCACTACCCTACTTGTATCACAATGATTTTCTTTAATTTTATTGCCTCCTCTGTCAATGATTTCTGCAACTAAATAAAAATTGAGAATATTATTTCTCTGATTAATTCTACTATGTAATCAAATCGCATGATTAGAATTTAAGAACTTCTTTATTTATTAATTAATTGAAAAATTAAATTGAAAATTACTATTAGAATTGCAATTTAAAGCTTTCATCCAAAATATTATTTATAAACCGAGAAACTTCTTTCTATACTACAGCTAGATATAGATATTCCAGAGCAATTTTGAAGATTTAATGTTTATCCAAATCTATCTCATCGATTGGTTAGATTATATATATACTTGCTTACCACAATGAATTCAACAATTCACCAGAAGGGGATTTCAACTCTTCAATTGATCTATATTGATGCAAGATTTTTCTTTCCAAAGGACTCCAAATAAAATAAATTTTGGATCAAAATTTGTGCTGCTTGAAAAAGGTGATGAATAGGATATGAAGGAATGTGCGCATTGAATTTGTTAAGAGCAATTTCAAAAGCTGCATGTAAAAAATCATTTGGACTAAAATCGTGAGAATTCATAGTTTGTTCAACTTCTGATGACAATTAGAAGAAAACACAATCGGTTTTTAACAAAGCGTCAAGATGATTTAGATGCCTTTCTTGAATAAATTGTTTGGCCATAAATGAATGATAAAACTATTTGTGATTTATCATTTTGATTGGTCCTTAACTAGTTTCAACCTGAAAAAAAAAAAGAATTCCAAAATTAATATGATAAATGTCGAGAAATCACATCATTAGAAATTTTCCAAGAGTTCGTTGTATCAATCAATTCGCTCTTCAAATGATAAATTAAATTAAGTATTCCATCCCTGGAGTTTCTTTGTAATTTTACGAGTGTGGCTTTATCCCTCCAGGGAAAGATTTCTCTATCTGACAGATCAATCCATTAAAATCATCACTAATCAGATCCAAAGTATACTTCTCAAATTAAACTCATAGCAGTTTTAGTCAATTAACAAATTTATTTTGGAAAAGATAAGATTCAATAGAAATATCAAATATAACATTCTTTCTGAGGAATATTTTTTAAAAATATAATAAATGAATGCATCAATCCTTTTCCTTTATCATTATTTCGTACCCGAATGTAAACACGGCAGGGCAGGGCTAACAAGGGATTAAATAAAATCCATAATTAAAGATCGGTTACAAGCATTGTTTAGAGGTTGGGTACATTCTCATGAAAGACATACAACAATGCGAAAAAAGCGACTTTGGGTTAAATGCTACCACTATATACAAATATCTTCACTTGGAATATTTTTGGATTAGAAATTATACCACATCGTAAAGTAAAGTTTTAAATGCAGATTAGATTATGGTCCTTTTCTATTGAAGACCCCATGTATGCAAACTTCCTTCATTATTTATTTTTTTTAAAAAAAAGTCATTTAAATATGAAAAGTCGATATTCTTTAATTGTTGAAAGTCTAAAAGCTTGTTCATACACCCAGCCCTCCCGAGTAGGGTCTTTACACACTGGTTAATCAGATAACACCTATATAATCACTCGAATCAAAATCTTGGGAATCAAATAATCGCAAATACCCGATTATTCATATTATCCGTATATGTTAATGTACAAAAAAAAATGCTTTTAGAATTCAAAAGAGGTATTATATTTCCATTAAAAATAGAGGTTTGCACCATCAATCTTGGTGTTACAAATTCTCATTATTAATCTAACTAGAATACATATGGAAATAAATACAAATACCAAAACAGCTATCTTTATTTTTTTCTTTTGGAGAGGACTTATGACTAGAGTTTCTATTCGTAATACGAATTATTACTTGTCAATCGTTTTGTTCATTATTCATTGAAACCATACTATGACTATTTGTTATATAGTAGAAATTTTTTTTAAATTACTATTATTATTATCACCATAAGGACTACGAAGGAAAAATAGAACTGATAAAGAAAATTTTTTTAATTGGATGAGATAGTGCATACACCATCACTATCAAGTTATGTCGTTCGTTTTATCCAATTTGCCAATTAAAAAAATTTCACGTGATTAAATTGGCGCCAACCTCTAATGATAAAAATATTTTCACAAGGATTAATAAATCTTGTGTAAATATTTTCACCTTTATTTTTATTTTTATTATTATTAATATTCAACGATTATCCGACTATCCAATCGTTGAAACGATTAAATCAATCGTAACACCACTATTCCCGAGTATAATGGGACTCGTTTACAGTTTAGGATTGATGAATTTGGCTATAAATTTTCATTATTATGATCTTCCCATGCTTTCCTTCTGGAAATGAGAGGTGTGGCATAATTTTGATAATTGAGAAACTAGTTTCACTTGATGCTTCCCTTCGGGTGATAGAGTTAAAGTGTGTAATTTTTAAATATGTCATTATCATGAAACGTAGTTCGATATCATTATCATTATCATTATATAAAACGATTTAATTCACCTTTATTATTAATATTAATTCATGATCCGTGGTATAAATTTCGGGATGACCTATTACTATTAAACAGATTTTTATATAATTATCATAAACCTTATTTTTTTTTTTTATTAATTCGCTCATTTATTGTAAGTTTCAAAGGTCGAAAACCAAAAAAAAAATTATTGGTTGAGTAATAGTATTGCATATAAAATTCTACAAACATTTGTTTAATTTTTCCAAGATATCAATCAATTATTTTATAATTATTTATAAAGTCTTTGCTACAATATATGTTTTTTGTAAACGAATGCAGTTCACCAATTCGTAACGATCCATTTCGGGAATTTGGAAAAAGGGAAATCTCTATCTTTTTCTTCGAATCAAGGTTAATTGAAAGAGGCAATTTAATTTTACATGCTCTCCCACCCAAAAGAAAGGATGAGATCACTAGTGAATTGTTTAGGGTAATGGTTATACATCAAAGGGTGATTAGAGCCGCGGGCATAATTTTAACCAGTTTTATATTTGATGCTTTCCTTACAGTGGATTAGGGTCAAAATATATTCTGAAAATAAAGAATTCTCGTCAAATGTTACTTAAACAATAATAATAAAGGAAAAAGGAAAAACGTCTGACCAAAACTATTCGAGTATTTATCGAAGTATTTTTCTGTTCTGCTCTGGGCAAGAATTAGAAATAGTAAAAAATTTATTATTCAAAAGTTTAGTCTAAAGAAATAAAGTAATGACGAAAAGATAAAATAAAGATATTACGAATAAATATATCCATTGATAATTTATCGCCTAATCAATTCACATCTTTCCTTTACTATTACTAGAATCTAATTAATTAAATGGGAATAAAAATTACTGTTAATAATAATTAATGGATAGTAATTTCCAATCAATTTGCAATGAACCTTTCTTTACCTTTGTTAATAGAAGTATTTATGTGAAAAGAGTTGAGATCAAGATTATTTATTAAACTATCACCACTTGTTAACCTTAGTGATTTAATAATTTCATCATCTAATAGTCTACTTTTATGAAATGCTCCTAGATGTGGTTTGTACGAATTCCTACCACCACCACCACTATCATGACTAATAATAATATTATTATTCAAACTTTTATCTTTAAAAATTTCTTCATGTTTATTAACAGCAAATTCCCCAAGTTCTCTAGCAGTTGGTCTTTTGGATGGATCTTCATCCCAACACTTTTGCATCATTTGCACATAATCATCAGGCATTTCTGGTAATATTGGTGGTCGTAAACCTTTACATATATCAAAAATTAAACGATGATTATGACCTCTATTATCAAATGGTGGATGGCCTGCAAATATTTCCCACATTAACATTCCAATGCTATAAATATCTGATTCCTTTGTGTTTTTTGTATTAATTTTACCTTTAAGTAGTTCTGGTGCAATATATGGCACAATTCCATAGATTTTATTTGATGATGTTTCATTGACTGGTCCACATAATCCTAAATCTGTAATATAACAACCACCTCCTTGGAATAATATATTACCACTGTGTAAATCACAATGGATTAAATTATTTTCATGTATAGAATATAATGATTCACATAAATATCTAAAAATTGTAATTCTATTTTTTAATGTTAATTTTGAATGATTTTTTTGTAAATAATCTCTTAAATTTCCTTCTGATAAATAATTAAGAACTATTGCATAATTTCCATTATCTGGGAATTTAGTTATACCATAACAAGGAACAATCATTTGTGATTTAATTTTACAATAATTCAATGCCTGGAAATAAACATAAAATCAATTAATGCTATATAATATATTATTATTTATTTTGCTACAAATAAAATAAAATTAATTACCTCATTAAAAAATTCTTTTCTTGGGTTACTTGAATCATTTAAACATTTTAATACTACATTTTGAGCTCCTAAATAACCAAATTCCATTTTATTTTCATCATAATCAATAATGGTTCCTCTTGTCCATTCTGCAGTATAAATCAAACTAAATCCACCTTCAGTTAATTTTATTATTTTTTTAAATTGCTCAAAAGGTATCCATTCTAAAATATGAGTTGGCAAGGATGAGAGAATCTGACATTGTTGAATAAAACCATCAACTATGTCATTATCAGATGTCCAAGTGACAAAAAGATTTTGTAAGTGTAGACCAATACACTTTTCACAAAACCTATCAGAATATTTTGTAAATTTGCACTTGTTACATTCTTTTGGTTTGCCCAATTTATTTCTCAAATTATTTAATTCAAACTCATAAACAAAGTATTCTTTGCAATATTTTTTTTCATTTTCAGAAAGCCCCTTGTTTTTTTCGACTAATGAAAAAAAATAATCTTTTTGTTGTTCTCCATTATGAGTGTTTGCTAAAGCGATATCATTCATTCCTCTATGAATTTTGAATACAAATCCGCTTCTTTCTGGCGATAACAATTTATAGAATGACATTTTAAACTTACTTGATATCTTTAAACAATGTTTTATTTTATTTAGAAAATATTTCCAACGAGGGGAAAGAACTTAACAATTAAATATTATTTCGATTTAGTGTTTGTACCCGTGAATATGTCCTGGGTACTCCCACATCAAAATCAGATGACATTTATGTTTTGTAAACATTACAACGGTTTTCTGCGGTGAATTAATTATGTCAATGCTAAAAACAAACCTCCGCATGCATACAATTAAAAAACACTATATGCGTAATTCTGCATTGTTAGAAAGAAACTTTCTTGTAAAAATTTCGGAAATCTTCGGGAATAAGCAAATTAATTGCAATGATCATAAGAACTTAAAATAAAATAATCATTTAATTTGAAGGATGAATTGTTTCAAATTGTAATTTATTTGATTTCCAGTAGAGTCATCGTCAGAAAAAACAGACTACATTCTTTACCAGCTTCATTCAAGACTGAACAAATTTTTACCAGTTATATCACTTTTGAAGTAAATTTATAATAATAAAATGGTCTTAAAATATGAATCTCGATTTTTCATAATTCCCAAAAAACAATAAAAATCGTATCGTTATATATATATTATATCTTTGAAATTTTTGGTTTTTTCGTAAAAGAATAGGTTTACTTGAAAGGCTTCAAGCACATGAATACTGTGTAAGAGTATTAAGTCCGAATTTAGTTATTTGTATCCGTGGCTCAAAAATCCAACTAGACCGCCCATATGTTGAAAGGTTTTTTGAAAGACATTTAAATAATTCTGGATGCAAAAGAAATACTCAATGATCTGTTTTAGCATTTTTTTTCATTCAAAAAAAAATAAAGAACTCGAAATTAGGTAGCATCCTTGTTTAGAATGGACAAAATGAAGAAATCAAAAAATATATTTACATACACCAGTTTCTTTTGATGGCAGAAAAAGAGTAGAGGTAATTTGCCAAAGAAAGTCTTCTAGGTGAATATCAAAGGAAGAATCGAGTATCCTTTATCAAGTATATATAAGAAGATAACTTTATTTTTAGTAGATTAAATTAAAGATTTTATCTTTTTGATTAGAATTTCTAGATAATTTTTTGCAGAAAAAAGCATGAAGCCTTTATGAGAAAAAATATGGTGAGATCACAGATCGGAATTTATGGAATTAACACTGGATTAGACTCAATTTCTTCAAATCCAGTTAATTTTCTTTAATTAACAATTCAAATCCGAATGAAAGACCTATTCTTAGATGAGAACAAATATGGTATCTTAAACGAAACTCAGTAGTAGAAAAAATTAATAAGATTCAAAAGATGGATCATAGGTCAAAGAAAACTAAAAAAAAAATTGATTGTGGTTTCTAAAGATAATCCAATTCTTCAGAATAGTTATGTATTAGTAGTATTTAAAAATGTTGTACGTGAAAATGAAATTATGTGAATTCGCAATTCACATACGTGAAATTCAAATTAGCCAATCAGAATTTCACCCCACTTCATAATATTTCAATTGCGCATACAACAGAAATAAGTTATGTGTTGGTAAAGTATTACAATGTATTACGAAAATAACTGGCATCTACCTTCTTTGACAGAATCGTGTGAAAATTACTTTATATTACGTTATACCAGTTCCAGGAAATGATTTAATAATGTGGTAAATGTGTGGTAAATGAAATGATGTATGTTATAGAGGTTGGAACCAGCCAAAAAAACCTTAACCGGTTAATTATATAAAAAGAATTTTTTTTTATTTTATTTACTTGTCTAAAAAATTATAATAATAATTATAATTTATAAAAAATTACAATAACAAATTATAATTTATATTAAAATTGTTGTATTTTTTGTTCCTATAATGTAAGTTTAATTTTAAAATTAAATACATTACTTGTGAATAATATTCTTTTATCAAAAATTATATTTACTTTTTTTTCTTTGTCTTCAGTTTTATTATGCATTACATTAAATGGTATTTCATGTTTGAAGTAGAACCTGTGAATTTTTAAGATGCATTGCATGGTTCTTCTTTTCCATTTTTTATTATAGGAATTATACATTGTGCTTTTTCATTCTCGATTTTTTTAAAATATTTCCATATACAAAGCTTTGATTTTTTGATAATTTTGGTTTTTTTTTATTGACTATTAATAGGCGATTCTAAAAAAGAAATTGAAGAAGATATGACTGATTGTGATTCAAATGAAGACTCTTCATTATCTCTAAAGTCAAAAAATCCTGAACAACCATCATTTATTTCGTTATCAGCCATTCTTTATTATAAAACAAAAGAATAAAAAGAAGTATTAGTTTATTCATTCTTCCTAATACTAATTGGAAATTAAAATTAACTAATTTAAGGGTGATCTACATTTTAACTGTTTCTAACCGGTTAACGAAATACTTTAACCGGTTAATTAACCGGTTAAGGTTAACTGGTTCCAACCTCTAGTATGTTATTTTCTCATAATGATCCAAAATTCGAATAAACGAAATAATTTGAATAAAACCAATAAACGATTGATTTGAATAAAACGAATGGTGATAATTCGATTAATATTAAAGTCCATGCATGGTATTTTTGTTCGGGTCCCGCAGATCGTGTAACAAACAATGGACCCCACCACTCTCGCAACAGTAATAACCTTTTGTTTCTTGGCGTTTTAAGACGCAAACAATTAGCAACTTCAATCTATTATTCTACTTTTACAATTTGTGTGCTATTTACTGTACATCACTATGTTTTAATAAACACAAGTTTGATGCTTTCGAGCAAGGCAATTGGATATACGGGTCTGGGACACTTTACCGCAGGACACTTCACCGACACCCACTTCACCGACACCCACTTCACCGACAAGACACTTCGCCGACAAGACACTTTACCGACAGGACACTTTACCGACAATCTAAGTAAAGTCGAACTTGACGTAGAAATGGTCTTGCGAGGAACACCATGACTCCCACAGAAACCACAAGATCGTAATCGTGAAATACGGATTCAAACAGTATTAAATGACCGTAACATTAGATCAACTATAAAGTTTCTTCGGGGCATTGCTCATAATATTTCATTTTTAAAAAATTTTTTTGATAAAAATAATAAGTTTTTTAATAAAAAAATAACATGAATATGCAATTTTTATCAATTTCGTCAGACAAAAAAAAATATATTACACATGTATCTATATTGTATTTTTATGAACTTGTTTTTGATGCAAAGTAAGGATAATAAGTGGTGTTATTAGTTAATTAACGGTTGATCTAACTTGTTGTAAAAAACCAAATTTTTAGCTAGTTATCCAGGTCTTCACACAGTCCTTGGCAAATTGTTAACACAATACTTGTCGGTAAAGTGTCTTGTCGGTAAATTGGGTGTCGGTAAAGTGTCCTGGTCCGATCGGAAATTGAACTGGCCAGGGTACTTCTTTATCCAAATCTAAAAAAATTCCTGGTAAAACATTATTTTGTATTGGTTCTGGAATTGTACGTGGATGGCATGGAGTTTTCTTACTTTTATAATGCTGCGTAAGTTTTTGCGGAGTTGAAAATTCATATTTACAGATTTCACATGTACGGTTTTTTCTAGGAGACATTGTTGAAAATATTAACGGTTTTATAAATTACTTATATAAAAATTTTTGTTCAAATTTAATTTTTTATTTATTGATCTTTTTTTTAGAAAACTCGCGTATGTAATATTTTCCAGAATGATCTACTATTTATTTTTAAATATGACGCAATTTAAACCAATTGTGGTACGAAGGAAATACTTTTAAAAGATATTAAGTTAAAAATGTCAATTTATAAATTATTATCACTAGAAAGAATTGGATTTGTAGATGAAATTTATGATAGAATGTATAATGATGCTTTAGCAAATTCACATAAAGTCAAAAAGATTATTTTTTTTCATTGGTCAAAAAAAGCAAGGAGCTTTCTGAGAGTGAAAAAGAATATTGCAAAGAATATTTTATTTATGATTTTGAATTAGATAATGCAATTTATAAATTGGGCAGACTAAGAGAATGTAGCAAGTATAAATCAATAAAATATTCTGATAGATTCTGTGAAGGTTGTATTAGTTTACAATTACAGTCTTTTTGGCACTTGGACATTTGGTAATGACTTGGTTGATAATTTTATCCAACAATGTCAAATTCTCACATCTTTGCCAACTAATATTTTAGAATGGGTACCTTTTGAGCAATTTAAAGGAATAAAAAAATTAACTGAAGGTGGATTTAGTTCAATTTATACTGCTGAATGGACAAGGGGATATATAATTGATTATAATGAAAATAAAACAGAAAGATGTAGTATTAAAAAGTTTAAATAATTCAAGTAATCCAACAAAAGAATTTTTTGATGAGGTAATTGATTTTATTTTATTTGTAGCAAAAAATAAATACTATATTATATAACATTAATTGATTTTATATTTATTTCCAGGCATTGAATTATTGTAAAATTAAATCACAAATGATTGTTCCTTGTTATGGTATAACTAAATTCCCAGATAATGGAGACTATGTGATGGTTCTTAATGATCATGAAGAAGGAAATTTAAGAGATTATTTACAAAAAAATCGTTCAAAATTAACATTAAAAAATATAATTATAATATTACAGATTTGGACCAGCTGATGAAACATCATCAAATAAAATCTATGGAATTGTACCATATATTGCACCAGAACTACTTAAAGGTAAAATTAATACAAAAAACACAAAGGAATCAGATATTTATATCATTGGGATGTTAATGTGGGAAATATTTGCAGGCCATCCACCATTTGATAATAGAGGTCATAATCATCATTTAATTTTTGATATATGTGAAGGTTTACGACCACCAATATTACCAGGAATGCCTGATGATTATGTGCAAATGATGCAGAAGTGTTGGGATGAAGATCCATCAAAAAGACTAACTTCTGAAGAGCTTTATGAATTTGCTGATATAAATTAGAAGAAATTTATAAAAATGAAAGTATGAATATTAATAATAATAGCAGTAATAATATTAGTTGTGATAATGATAATGGTAGTAATTTGCACAAACCACATCCAGGTGCATATCATATGAGCAGAATATTAGGTGATGAAATTACTAAATCACAAAGCTTAACAATTAATGATAATTGAATAATCTTGATTTTAATTCTTTTCTCCTAAATGCTGATTTTAATAAAGGTAAAAAAAAGGTTCATTACTAATTAATTGGAAACTACTATCTATTTAATTATTACTAACAGTATTTTTTAATCAATTAATAAACATTAGATTTTAGCAACAATAGTAAGGGAAATGATGTAGAAAGAATAGATGAGGTTGTTGATGGAATTGATAAATTATCAATGGATGATTAATTTAATCTCTACTATAAATTTTTTCTTTGAATTAGTTATATCTTTTTATTTCATCCTTTAACCTTTTCATTTTATTTATTTATTTCTTAAAGCTAATTATAATAATCATTTGAAATAATAAATTTTTTTACTATTTTTAATTCTTGTTCCAGAGCTCCCTTATTATTGTTGTAAAAGTTACATTTGTGGTGATGCTTTATAAAACAAATATACACAATAAAGAAGCCGATGCTTGTTTATTATCTACCTATAAAAATTTCAACTGTAGATGTTAAGGGTAAAGAAAGTTATCTCATAACTTGGATATATACCTACGAGTTATCTGTATATGGCGAAAGAATTTTTATGCTAAGTCAACAGAAAGAGCAACGTGGTTCGTTTGGATTAGGGGATTATTTGGTATAGAAGTAACTAGATTTTTTTGTGTATTCGCATTATTATTATGTAATAGCGATACGTATTTTTTATTTCATACAATAAATCAAGGTTCTATGTAACCATTTGTCCAATTTAATAAAATTCTGAAATAATTATGCTTTTGGTTACTACCAAAAGTGCGCTATAGTTTTATTTTCCGATGCACACCCCCACACCACACCACATACACGAAAGTTAAAAAATCAGAAGCCCGAACTTTATTATAATTTGATATTTGTTTAAAATTTTAAGTCGCAATTGAAACATACTTGTGTAGCAATGAATCATTGCACAATTTTAGACAATAAAATTATTTTCCATATATTATATTTCAATTCCTTTTTTCGCTTTTAACAGCTAATGCTTTTGCTTCTTAGGTCGGTTTGGTGTTGGTGGATTCTGCTTTATAGTGTGAACTTTCCGCTTGACAAGTAACTTATTTTTTTGGTCAGTATGTGACTTGCCCTTTTCGATATTTTTTTTCATAAATGACTGAATGTAAACAATCATTAGCAAAAAATAGTGAATAAGTGAAAAGGAATTATACAAACTTTATTATACTCACAAAAAATTTTAGACAGGTTATAATTGCTTCAGCTAGTACAGGAAGATCCTGCCAAATTGCAGGAATCTTGAAACTTTCGTATTCCCGAAGGCAATATTAATATGATTTTTGGTGTATTGTACACCAAAATAAAGATACCTCGGTGCGATGGCCAAAGGCACCAAAGCTTGCTAGGTCTTTATGATCAGATATCCCATCTTTAAGACGAAGGGTTATTCTTTGATTTAACACATCCCTCATGGCTCGAACCAACTTATAATCATGTATGTAAAATTGAGTAACATCATCAAAGTCTGGAGGTCCTGTCTGTTCATATATGAGCACTTCTTTATGGCTTTGCCAGAGGCGGGCAAGACCATCTGCACGTTTTGCTTCCAAAACTTTATCAATAATTGGGTTGATATTGGAATTACGTCGGTGTTTGCTACTTTCAACCGGGACTTCGAGACTATAACAGTGTAATTTCATAATGTTAATTAATCACTGCCGATGAATATTCTCAGGATGGATAATCGAATTCACTTACATTCTCCAGTCGATACTAAGAACAGCCTTGAGCACATTATTCAGTACTGGACTTACAAATTGTGCATTGTACTGATTTTCTCCGAGGTCGCCTGATTTTAGTATATTGTATGGCGCTTTCATCAGGAAATTAATTTAGCGTAAACTTGCATAAATCTTACGATGCCGACGTAATATTGTGTAAATCTTACAGTGCCGACGTAAGTTTTACACTTTTTTATTATTAAACTTACAATTGACATGTGTAAAATTTTTTTATATTTTCCGGATGTTGAAAGCTTCGATGCTAAAAGAATAAAAATCAAAATATTAACACAATAGACTGAAAGCATAAAAGGATCATAAAAACTTAAACATACTATGGGTCAAGAATATTATATATCGCATCTTTGATTACCAAGTCACCATTGCTTTCATTTTCATCAGAAATTGCATAAAGTCCGCGCCAGGTTTTTATCCATTCTGCTAATGAGTCTTTTGGCTACTTGGCCATCAGCGAATAATAAAAATTAGCCAAACCAAAAGCAATTCACCTTTCTCTAGATTTTACAACATACCTTGAAAATATCTTGTACTAATTTTTCCCATGCTTCAGGTATTTCGTATTCGGGATATGTATTTGACACGAATTTCTCCCAGATTGCTACAGGGATTTTTTCTGTGAATCGTGAGGCAGGTCTAAGGTCCATTATATCGCTATGACATAAGCTAATAAAACGATGGTAATAACGAGTAAGTCTACGTATTTTAAGTTCATATAAACCACAGGAGCGACTATACTCACTCAAAGATATTTTCGCAATCTTTACTGTGGTCTTCGAAAACTTCCTCCAAATTGACAAAGTCTACTATCAGTGCTGTTCTTTCCACTTTCCCAATCATTGATTCTGTCACTTTTTGAAAATTATCGTCCGTATCTGAGTTAATTCAAACGATATGGGTCAGCCATGTAGTGAATCTGTAGCATAAACCACTCATTTGCAACGTATCACTAGATATAGCACCTTTTTCTTGTTCATCTTCATCTTGAGGTTTGCATCTATCCTCTCGATTTTTCTTGTTCATGTCCTCATTTGATTCGTATCTAAATATAGTTGCGTAAGCCTAAAAAGAGTCTATATTCAGAAAGAAATAATATTGAAAGACATACCTGAACTTTTGAGTTTTTTCTGTTAGTTTAGAGGAACTTTATGCAGATAGAATTAAAGTTATATACTATAGTCAGAAAGGAACCCATGTGGTCTTTAAAGAAATACCTTTGGCTTCCTGAACTTCCGATTTCATCAACAATTGCTGTCTTAATATTCGTCTGAAAAATTGGAAATCAAATAGTAAGCAAAACATTACAAAATTTATAATCATATGGCCTCAATTTTGAATCACCTTAGCTAGCAGTTCGCTGAGTGATAAACGAACTTTGGACTCTGCAATCTCTTTGCTCCTGTTCCAGACAATATCACTGATTTCTGACGATCCGTTCTTACACCATTGATAAAGAAGGTAAAAAAAAGTTAGAACTTTTGGAAATCTACAGCAATATTTTTTGTGCATATTGGTAAGAAGTGTGTACACGCGAAGAATCACAATGAGTGAAACTATCACGCTTCTCCTCCCCATCAGGTTAGAAAGCACCCAACCCTCCTCGAAAGCACCGAGGGGCGTAGTACACCCAGTCAACATAAACACGCGAAAGGATCACAGCGAGTGAAGCCATCGCGCTTCTCTTCCCCATCAGGTTAGAAAGCACCCAACCCTCCTCGAAAGCACCGAGGGGCGTAGTTACCAGCTGACAAGCAGTCTTGCTCAACACTCCCTCTTTCACATAAACTAACCTTTAATTGTTTCTGTAACGATCGCACTTTTTCTACCACCATTTGATCAGATGTTCTGGAGAGAATGTTCAACTCGGTAGCTAATGAAGTATGGGCTCGATCTTGCTTATGATGTAAATTTGGATTTTGTTAGATCCAAAATATATCGAATGACTAAACAGACCATTTCCGAAAGCTGGTACTTGACCAATATTCTGCAAATCGAAAAGTTATAAGCAGTTTATGATATTGTGCGTGCTATAATTGAAAGCTCACCTTCATAATAAAGATCAGGTGGAATGAAAATTGTATTTTGTTTAGCGTTGGACTCTGACATCTTAGAAAAAAACGATTTGAGAAAGTAAAAAATTTTTGGAGAGTTATGAGATCTTAGAACTTTTGTTGCACAGCCTTATTAATGTCACACGACCTGCTGATTATCTCGATAATCTAAAAATAATTTCGTTCCACAGCTCCATAACACACCGATTATTTCCAAGTTACACCTTATACAGGTTTATCGAATTGAAACAAAAAACTTATTATTTATGTTTTGAAGAGCTGTGACATCAATGTAGGGATGGGTTGGTTTCGCTAATAAACGGTTTGAACTCGGTTTTGAATCCAACCCCTGGTTTTTTTTGGTTTGGTTTTTGGAACCGTTCAAACCGTTCAAAACGGTTACACATGATCAAAATGTGACACAAATAGTTTATTAAAATTTATTTTATTTAAAAATATCATATATCTATCTATATAAATGATAAAAAATTTGTATTTTAATAATCTCCTATTTTATTAACAATCCAGCTTTTCATACATAAGCATGCTCTTGCAGTTTCTGGCAACAAACGATTTCGAGTTTTACTAATTGTATTTCCAGCAACTGAGAATGCCTGTTCTAATGCAACACTAGTTGCTTGAATGGTAAGATAATCTTGTGCCATATTACTTACAATTGGGTGTTCTTTGGCATGTGCCTGCCACCATAATAGAGGTTCTGTTTCTTCATCTATTGGTAATGCAAGATAATGATTTAATTCTGATATTAAAGATGCTGAAGCAATTTGTGGTGTTGGGTTATGAAGAAGTTGTGTGAAAAGTCAACGAGTTGCATTTATGGTAGATGTAGATGATGATAATCTTCTTGCAGGAGATTGTGTATTGGAAGAATTCTGGTAAGTTTCAAAAATTGCTTGAATATGTTCACAAGCATTTTGTCTATTTCCTTCTGAAAGACTGAGAGTTGGTTCAAGGGTCTAAAACTGCTGAAGCAATTGAAGAACTATTCATAATTTGCCAATACTCTTCAATTTTTTGAAATATTGATGCCGCCATTTCACTCTGTGTGAAGCCTTCTTTTCCTATTTCTTTTTGTAAATACACCTGGATGCTTTTAAAGATAATATGAACATCACCCATAGTTGGATACGATGATGCTGAAAGGTGGTTTGTGGCTTGTTTAAAGATTTCAAGAAGTGAGAGAGTATCCTATAGAGTATGATGAGAATATTGAGTATTGGTTTCAATGTTTTCGTATGTGAAACTTAAAATCCGTTGTAACACGAATTTATTTATAATTCATTTTGTGGTAAAATTACTAATATCAATTTACCTTAATTATAATCCAATCATTTTATTAGGACAAAGATTCTTGACATTGTTATTCATCAGGAAATTAATTTAGCATAAACTTGCATAAATCTTACGATGCCAACATAATATTGTGTAAATCTTACAGTGTCGATGTAAGTTTTACACTTTTTATTATTAAACTTACAATTGACACATGTAAAATTTTTTTATATTTTGGATGTTATCAGCAGCAAGTAAAACCAATGCTGGTTCAAGTTGTTCCAAACGTTTTAACATATAGTAAGTTGAGTTCCAGTGGGTCTCTACATCCAAAACTGGTTTATAATCATGGATATGTTTTAAAGTACAAAAACCACAAAGTTGATCACAGAGGAGAGTTGAAATTTTAATTTTACTCATTAATTCACGTACTTTATTAATTGAACCACTAACTAGTTCTAATCCTTGCTTAACACCTAGGTTTAAAACATGTGCTGCACAACAATAATGTGCAAAAGTCATTGAAGAAAGTTGACTATCAAGGGATTTTGGCAAGTTTTCTTCTACATACAACCATTGCAGATTCATTAACTGTGGTTAGTGCACTGATTTTACCAGAAATATTGAATTCATCAAATATGCATATAATCTCCCTTGTAATATTTTCTCTGGTGTGTCTAGTGGTAAAATGGATGATATCAAGTAGAAAATTGCAGAGTTTCCAGCTTGAATTTATATAATGTATGGTTATTCCTAAAAAGGCTTCACGATTCATAGAAGTCCACATATTAGTTGCGGGACATTGCAGATCATGTGTCATTCAATATAAACGTTACACGAATAAAATTATCGTCCACTTCAAAAAAAAATCTCCGTTTTTCATATAGCAAGCGATTTTCAACCATAATAAATTTTTTAGAGCCAGACTGAGGCTTTTAACAATAGTTAAAAGAAAAGATTAGCTTAAATATTGGTTATTCTACGCCAGGTCGAAAGCGTTTCTTTTCTTCACACTTATTTTAAGATTACTGCTCAACTAGTATGCAGACTAAAGCAAATTCAGCAGCAACAGTTGTGCCAAAGTGTTCCCTACAAAGCCGCTTATAACTACTTGGAAGGTTGTGTTAGAAAAATTTTGCTTTTAATTATAAGGGACTGATTTATAAGGTTATTAATTTATTTAGAATTTTAAAATTACATGGTCAAAATTTCAAAATAATAATAATAATAATAATAATAGTTAATTTATTGTTTGATAATTATGAATACAAAGAATTGGAGAAATAATAATTAACAATAAAGAAATTTATTTATTAATAATAGACCTTTGGCATAGTACATCAAGCAAGGTTTGAATATTTCGGAATAAAGCTTTAAAGGATTGTGGTGGTAGTGATGGCAGTGGTGGTGGTAGTGGTAGTGATAGTAATGGTGGTGGTAGTGACAATAATCATAATGCCATGGATACAAGTTGGTAATAAAAAAATAAAATTATTATTATTATTATTATCATCATTATAACTTGCCCAATATAAATATATTTTGTTAATATCCAAATGATATGATAATTAAATTCATTAAATTGAATAATAATATACCAAATACAAATAATTTCTATTTTCTAAAAATAAATAAATAATAATAAAAAAAATATGATCGCGTAACGGATTGTACATTTCATATCGTCAGATCATTCAACCTTTGCAACCTTTGGAAAAGAAATAAATATATTTAATAAATAATTAATAATAATAAAAATAAGATCGCGTAATGGATTGTACACTGTCAGATGATCGTTCAACCTTTGCAATCTTTGGAAAAAGAAATAAATATATTAATATAATCACACATACCTTTTAATAATAGCAGTAACATCAGTGCTTGTAAT